GAAATTTTTTATAAAGTTTTTACTCGGGAACATCGTATTTTGGTGTTTGAGGGGGACCAAGAAGTTCTTTAACCTGTGCGAGAGTGGTTTTTGGAGGGGAGAGTGAAATGTGAGAACGAATAACCGGTGGAAACGAATAAAATAAATAATAAATTGGTTCATCTCCCTCAACTAATAAATGAAACGCATACCTTTTGATGTTCCTCCAAAACCTCCAACTCCTTTTCTCCCGATTTAACCGCAGCGGCCAATTCGGGTTCAGAATCAACAATCTCTTTTAGCACAGTTTGAAATCTTTGATACAACGAATCCGGATCGGTAATGTTATCTGGTGCTTGAAAGTAAACGCCTTGTTCTAACGTTACGGAATTGGGCACTGGGTGAGGAGGAAAGGAGTACAAAAAAAAAGGTGAGTCTCACGGATAAAATAATCTTACAGAAAGAAAAGGAGAGTAAAACGAGTCCAAGGATTGAGAACCCACAGCCAAGACTATCTTCGAAAGTTGTGCGAAATTCAGCGCGAGCTTCCATGAGCTCGGCGGTCTTGGCCGCAGACGGAGTTAACGCCGCCGGACGGTGGTGGCCCATTTTTTATTTTGCTGTAGAGAAAAGGTGTAATAAGGACGAAAATTTTTTTCCTATAGACGTCAGAATAATTTCGTGGTTTTTTTTGTAAAGAGAGAGCATGAAGTGAATTCAATCCTGTTCCTTTTTCCATCATATTCCTGAAGCGGTAAGCCTTAAAACCTCGATTCGGCAATAATTTATGCAAACCCAATAATTTTAGGATGTACCGCATGGATCACCGGTTGATTTTGGAAGTTTGGCCAAGGTTAAAGAATAAATGCATCATTTCTTGATTAATATCGTTTTCGAGGAGTGGGATGGTATCTGTTGGCACTGATAAGGAAACAACACCTAACAGAATAGACTGCAGCACTTAATTCGGGGATAGAGAGGACACGAAGCAATTTACCACAGACGGTGCCTCCCTGTGATGCTATCCCTAAACATCTTGTGACATCCAAGTATGCCACGAGACAATGTTAAACCCGACCAAATATGGGCACCTTTTTTTCTCACAATGACCCAAGCAAAATTTTTGCCGGAGTTCGGAATTATGCAGCTTCTTTTCGAGAACGATTCTCACTATGATGTCAGTCAGATTCCAAAGTTTTCTGGAGGTTGAATGCGTGTCAACATTGCATCATAATGAGAAAAAAAGAAAAAACCCAAGGATAAGTTCTAATTACATGTGGCGTCAATACTATGTTGTGCAACTTCGCGTGGCATATCATTATTTCAGCAATTTTCGGAATATTGTGTCCGTTGAATGTGCGCTCGGGATAATCACACTCCCGAGTTGTGTCCGAGGCTCGCATCATCATGTGCTCATTAAAAACGAGAAAAAAAAAAAAGTGTGCGGACCATTCGACACTTTTGGCTTATGATTTGCTTCTAACGATTTTATTTCAGATGTTTGCCTAAGAAAGATAATGAATGATATAATACGCTTATTGATATTGTAATGATTGTGTATGAAGAAAGAAGAGGAATTTGTATTTACAAGACTAAATATCATATAATAGTAATCTACTGTATGCGTATTTGAAGGCGTTGTCAGATTGCCCGTTTGTATACATAGTTGTATGTGTAAATGACGACGTAAGAGGTTTAAAAAAAAAAGAAAAGAAAAGAAAAAGATACTAATTATATATATGTAGGTATAGAGAGGGAGAAAAGTTCATTTTTATATGTTTCGATTCGTGATAGATGTATATAATAAATGTCCAAAATTCTAAATTTTTTTTTTTCGTTTATATGTTCCTATACGCATGGTGAAGTAAAACAGAAGCATCGGTACATATAGCGAAGAAGCGTATGCCTAAATAGTGATAATAATTATGATAATTATAATAATACATATGTCCATATCTTACGTGCAATGATTTTTTTTTTTTTTTTGGTCAAAGCCAGTTCGATCCAAAAAAAAAAAAAAAAAAAAAAAGTGTAATTCTAAATTTACATTTATTATTACCACCATCAACTCGGAGAGAATTTTCATTCCATTCCGTTGAAATAAAAGAAGTCGTTTATGTCCAGGTTGTCAAAGTACTGGGTAACAGCTTCCGATCCGGCGCTGATTGGAGATATATTTATCATCACCGTCGGACTCGGGACATTTGAGATGGTTGTGGGAATCGAATAGGCGGGTGATATAGGCTCGGGTATGAGTTCACTCGATGAACTCACGTTGCTGTTATATGAGATGGTGGTGGCAGACGGTATGAGATCTGCTAGCTCTGGAGGTGGGTTTGTCATCGGGTTAAATGATGAATCTGGTTGACAGAATTTCATGGTGTTCTCCGAGATCATTCTCAAAGTATTGATGATGGAAATCGGCTCTGTATTTTGAGACAATCTAATTAGCAATTCTCTCACTAAGGGCAACAAGATTGACCAACATTGACTCTTTGCAATGATTTGGTTCAACTGTTCAAAAACAATTTGATTCTCGTGACAGTCATTAAAATAATTTTGGCAATTATATAATAGGCCTTGAATTTCCTTCTCTAACTTGAGTACGGTAATGATGTGATTCGATCTGTTGGTTTGTTGCTGCAAATCATTTTGAATCCTTTCTAGATTTGCTTCAAGATTGCTAACCTGATTGCTTAGTTTTTCGACTTGTCGATTCTTACGGGGTGATTTATCATAAACGCAAGTTCCGGCGTCGCAATTTGAACAATCAATACTTTTTGCTGAATCTCCATCACATCTGATCTTCAGCCTTCGACAATTCTCACAAGCCCTCTTGTTTATGGTCCCTCGTTGACGTCGGACTGCGCGAGTTGTAGACATTTGTTCGTTAAGATGTAATGAAGAAGAGGGTGAAGAAGAAATCGCTTTTTTTATTCTTGGAAGAGAGAAGAAATTAATATATAGTGTTCTTGTTTTTTTTTTTATTGAAATAAAAGATAAAATTTCTTTCGAGTATGTTCGTAATTAAAGATGTTTATCATATACGTTTACGTTTATTTGTTAGTGAACAGTTTAATAATCTAATCGTAGGTATCCTTCCTCGCCTGTTAGAAAAAGCGAGTACACTTTGATTGAGTAATAATAATAATCGGAGGTTAGTTGAATGTGATTCAGAATGTATCAAATCATGAAGTATCCTTCAATATTTTCTTTTGTAGGGGTTTTGTAAGATGAGTTACAAAAAGCACAAGAAAAAAAAAAAAACGGAGAGAGAATGGGAAGGCAAATTATGATGAGCAACGGTGGGTTAAATAGTTTTTTTGCAAATACTTTTTGCTACGGTGTCTCTTTATTATTCTAAATTTAGAGATACAATTTTTTCAACTAAACCACTTTTATATTTATTTCATCACTTTCCAGCCACTGTGGCGTACGTGAAACGTTGTACGAGTATTATCATCTTAAACTTCGTTAAAAGAAATCTTTCAAAGAAAAATTTTCTTGACGGACGGTGGACTACGAAAATCTTAAACTAATCCAAAATAAAAATTTTACTGTCCATCACTCGGTAAAGCCTTAACATTGTACTTAACGGCAAATTCGAAACCATGTGTGTTCTATTCAGAAGTCATATTACATTTGGCAATTCGTTAATAATGAATTGAATTTTTCCTTAAACTGACATGCGATTTGGATTGTGTGTATGCGTTCATAGACCTTATGAATTTTCTGGAACTCCTCTTGCGAAAAAAAAAATACCTGGTAAAAAAAGAAAAAAAAAAAGAATGAAAAATGAAAAAACATTATGACATATAATAAGAAACAGGGGGATCATCGTGCGTGTCTCCAAATTAAGGAATGATCTTGGCATGCTAAAAATAAAATTCCAGTAATTATCTGTGAATACAAGTACGTGCGCACAACTGTAAGCACCCGATAATGTATCATTATATGTTATGCTTAATTTTCATTCAAGAAGCATTGTATGGAAACTAAATGCATATGACGAGATAAAAGCAAAATCATTGGTTGCAAGGATCCACAAATATTTGCTTTTGAATACCCGGTAAAAGAGCATGTCGTACGTACACAAAAATGGAAAACAAGGCATTTTATTACTTAAGATAAAATTGAGGAACGATCTTCTTTGTGGCAATCAACATTCGAACAGAATAGATAAGTATTCCACCGACTACTTGATTCATGCGACCGAATTATCAAAGTTTCTATAATTATCATAGTTATCACTATTTTTTCTTTATTCCTTTCTTTTCTTTGTCCCAAAAAAAAAATTTTTTTTTTCTCTTTTTTTTTGTCATTTAATTTACAAAGTACTTTTGTTGCTTTCTTTGTTTGATGCTAACTTTAATAAACTAGGCGGGATGAGTTTTTTCCAATATCTTCTTTATGAGTTACGAACTTCCATTACGCGTGCTCTTCTTCAGGACACGGATGAAAGACATACCAAAAACAAGAATAACTAACGTTCGGCAAAGAAAGTTCCTTTGGAAATCTCGCGTGTTCGATCACGTTAATATCATGCAACGCCCTGCTTATCAACATCTGGTCACCGGGCCTGCCTAATAAGGAGACCTCATTTGACCAACTTATAAATTCTATCTCTGCCAAAATGGTTGCTCGCAAATTTCGCTTTGTCACTTGCCTTTTGTGATATTGCTACATCCGTGACACCCAACACTGTTATCGGTGTAAAGTTCAAGCCACAGTAAGGTGGTAAGATTCTTCTACGCATTAATTCTATTGTCACTCGATTATCTCAACGTGCATGGTGCGCCACCACCAGTTACTTAACACGGGGCACCAACAAACATATATATGTGGCGTCAAATAACACAAGAATGCGCATAATTACATATGTTGCGTTTTTTTTTAATACCGAATGTATTACAATTTTGCATATAGCATATAATAGCATATACAGTTAAAGATTGATTAATTACAACCTGATAAGATAAAATATCCGGTAAAACCATCGCAACATGATAAAATATTTTTATTTTCGACAAATTTTCATGTAGAAATTTATTAAATATGGGTAATTATTTTCGAAGGCGGGCAGGGATTTATAATTAGAATTTATGTTGTACAGTATATATACTGTATTATTCAAAAAATAGGCACCAAAAAAATTGGTTATGCCATTTTTTTGTTGGTTTCAAAAATAATTATTCATATTTATGGCACCCATTACTAACTCATAAAAAAATTGTTTTTTAAAAAAATAGAATTCAAGGTTTGCAACTACTTTTTAAAAAAGAAATTTCAAGAAATTATTAATTCTAGTATAAAATGAATAAAAAAAAAATAAAAAAATTTTTAATTAAATTTGAGATAAAATAATAATACCAAAAATTTTATCATAAAGTTTTTATGGAAAATAAAGAAATGAATAATAATTCAAATTAAAATTTACAATAAAATTATAATAAATAAGCTTGAATTTACAAAAAATAATTATAATATTCTCTTTTTTTTTTTTTTTACCTGCAACCATATCATATAACTTAATTTTTACTGAGAAGTTTATATAACTATCTATAATATTATGGATTTTTCACATAATAACTAACATGTTATTACACAAAAGTACTCTAAATTAAATTTAGGTGATAATATTTTACTCCCTAGAGAATTAATATAAATTTCTATCCTTCAGAATTATTATTAATAGTTTATTACTATAAATTTCCTGATAATCATAAATTATTAAATTAAAAAAAAAAAAAGATTAACAATTAAAGAAAGAAAATAATTCAATATTAGTCAAAAAAATTTTATTAATATTTAACAAAAAATAAACAATTCAATAAATTAATAATATAAATAAATTAACAACCACATAATTTAACTCTAAATATTACAAAAATTAATATATTCATAATTTATTAACAATTTGTCAAAAAATTTATTAATGATTTATCAAACAATTCATTAACTATTAAAAATTTGCCAAAAAATTTATTAACAATTTGTTAAAAATTTAATAATAAATTATTAATAATTTGATAAAAAATTTATTAATAGTTTATTAATAATTTATCAACTATTTATTAAACTATTTATTAAAAATTTGACAACTATTTATCAAACCTATTTATCAGTTATATTTATTAAAATAAAAATTCTTTCTATAATTACTTTAAATCTAAAAAATTTTCTTTTTTAAAAATACTTGAAAAAATATCAAATAAAGGTATCTTTTTATAGTAAAAATCTCAAGGTTGCATTTAATCTTTTATCAAAAACAGAATGTATTATAATATAAAAAAAAAAAAAAACAAATAAGAACAATGCTTTATAAAAAACTCTACCATATATAAAAAAATTCAATCTGGATATTAACAAATCCTAAAATGCTTAGTAAATAACTATTAATTAACAAATTGAACTACTTCAATTAACAATATATCAAGAAAATCTAAATTCAACTTCAGAACTATTAGAATTAAACAATTAAATAACCACAACCTCATTATAAAATAATCTAATAAAACAAAAAAATGAAAAAAAAATCTTATAATCAATCAATTTAAATTAAAGAATTTAATAATACTAAAAGCAAAATGTTACAAATAGATAATACAAATAAGAAAATAAATACAGAAAACTATGAAAACTTAGAAACTATATAGTTTATAATAAGAAAAGCTAAAATAAAAAAATCTCTTCAAATAACAAAAGATCAAGACCCAATTTTCTCTTTAACAGGTCAAATAAATATAATAAAAAAAAATATAAAGTAGAAGTTTTGATCAACTTAGTTAAAGATAAACAATCTATCAAAAAAGCAAATATATTATTATAACTCTTAACTCTTCAAAAGGTTTTTTAACAATATACAACAAAGAAAAAAGTAAAAAAATAAAAATCATCACTATATTCAGTAATCTACAAGTCACTCAATCTATTACTACTATCAGTCTATACAATATAAATAATATAAAACTATTATATATAGAAACCATATATCAAGTAATCAATAAGAAAAACTCAATTGTAATATAAAATATTTTCTAAATACAAAATTAATTAAAGTTAAACAAATCTTTATAAAATATAAAAAATCTAAGGCATCACTAAAAAAACTCAAAATCTTTAACAATTTATTATTAATACCTTTATAGATAAGACTGCCAAAGATAAACTAAAAGTATACTTATTAAAGAAGACTCCCTTAGAATTAATAGTACAAAATAGTTATTTGTATAAATAAAATAAAAACATGAAATTGTCACTAAACTTATCAATTTTCTTTTAAATATTTTAGTATAGAATCTCAAACACATTCTTTCATAATGCAAAAAATGCATGTATTATATTTTAAGAACTGCAACAATATATACAGATCCAAAAAATTTGCAATTATTAGTTTTGACATATAAAAAGACCTTTTTAAAGTAATATAAAACATATATATTATAGGAGAAATTGAGTTCTCTTTTATATTAATCTCTATCAAACTTTGTATAATTGATAACTCAACTTTATATCTAGTTAAAGATTATACAATCAAAGTCAAATAACAATAATAGAATAACTATAACAATAAATAAGCCTTTAAATTTGATAATTTTTATAATAAATTTTGATCAGCAAAAATAATAATAATTCATAATTTCAACAAATTCAAATTTCAAAAAAATACAAGAGCTTGTTCCTATTTTAACATAGTCTATAGCAATCTTTAAAGCTTATAGAAAATCCATAGTCACTTACAGAAATTTTTAATTTTTGTTAAAAAAATCTATCAGAAAATCTAAATAATAAAATATAACTTGCAAAAATCAATAGATATATTATTAATTTAGAACTTTACAATAAAGAATATTACAAAACAATGGACAGTAATCAATTCAGTA